CCAAGCATGCTGGGTTCCACTGAACCCATCGCCTGGGTTCGATGCCCAGCATGCCTGGGTTCCACCGAACCCAACATGCCTGGGTTCGATGAAACCCAGGCGTTGGGTTCCTTAAGACCCAACCCTCAGTTCCAAAAAAAAAAAAAAGAAATTTCTGTTTTCTTTGTTTGGGTTTTGTTGTTTGATGATACGAGAATTGATGAAGATGAAGAAGGCAAGGCAGTCGTTGGGTTTTTGCAGGTGGATGAAGATGAAGAAGGCATAGCTGCTAGGTTCGAAATCGAACCCAGCAAGCAATCGAACCTAGCATTGAACCCAGCAGCCGCTGGGTTCCTGCAGTGCTGGGTTCGATTTCGAACCCAGCAGGCACTGTGTTCAAGCTGGGTTCCTGCAGGTGCTGGGTTTGATTTTGAACCCAGCAGGCACTGGGTTCTGTTTCTAACCCATGGATCTGTTGAGTTCCATTTTTTTATTGATCTGTTGAGTTCCATTTTTTTCAAACTCAGCAGTCGTTAGGTCGATGGATCTATTGAGTTCGATCTATTTATGAATTTGTTATCTATTGTGTTATTCTCATATTCTTGCAGGTGCTGGATTCGATTTCAAACCTAGCAAGTGTTGGGTTTTGTTTCCAACCCAACTGCAGTTGGATCGAAAGATCTATTGATTTCTATCTGTTGGTTTGTTATGTTATTCTCAGATTTAATATTAAGAAATGTTAGGGTTTGCAGAAGGAGGAAGGAAAGGGAGAGGAAGAAGAAAGGGAAAAAAGAAAAACAAAGAAAGAAAAAAAAAAAGAAAATTTTTAAAGTAATTTCTTGCCATCTCATTTTTTTGCCACACTGTACATCTTAGGTGTCAAAATGTCTTAACATGTCATCCTTTTCCCCGTCAAGTAACAAGACACGTAAGCAGATATTTAACGGAAGGACCAAATCGGGGTAAAAATGGTAAACAGTAGGGACCAAATCAAGGATTTTCTTAGTTTAGGGACCAAATCGGGGGTCCGTATAATAGTTCAGGGACCAAAAAGGGGTTTTAACCTAATATTTCTCTCACTAAACCAGAGGCAAATAGCTCTTTAAACTATTGTTTCCTGAAAGCAATTATTAGTAATCTGTTTTTTAGTCTTGATGAGGAGACAATTCTATTCTATCTATTTCAGAATGTGGAATCTGGTGAAAGAAAAATGAAGGTTTATTAGAGATGCTAAAGGAAAAAGGCTACGGAGGAAAGTGGAAAAGGTTCTCAAGGTTCTGAAAAAGGACCTGACAAACTTCTCACACAGAGGTAATTGTTTCCTTGTGTTACTATTAGAATTCTTATTTCTTATTGAGTTCTATACTTCTTTTTGTATTAGTGAGTATTTAATATTATAATAGTGTAGAGAAGCCAAGGTAGAAATCAAATAGTTTATGCATCCAAGGCTTAAGGCGGTGATTATCTGTTGAAGCATTGGTTGTTACTTAACATCAGATGTACCTTGACAGAAAAAGAATTATAATGAAAAACTGTAGCAAACTTTCATGGGATGTGTTCTCTGATACTAGTGGTAAATGAAGTTTGCTTGTGTTTTTGGTAATTTGTAGGGAAGTTTTTGAGCAATCAGTGGAAGCTTGTAATGCACTTATGTAGGTAAGCAATGTCTGATGCTTTTGGTTTTTTAAACTACAGTAGATCAAATAATACTCCATGCTGATTTTTGTATCTGTCTGTGTATCAAAGCAGAATAGTGGTGACAAAGAGGCAAATCCATTGCCAGAAGCAGCCTTACAGCACACACAAACAGGAAAAGATCAGAAAGAGAACTTTTAAGCTTCACTTCAATTGTGTAATTGTGTTAAGTTACAATTTCTAACAGGGCTTTATCCACAAATTCATGTTAATAAACATGAGCGTTTCCCTTGAATAGTGCTCAGCTTCCAATGACACAGAACTCAGCTCCAAGCTTTATGCTAGATAGAACTTCTGGTGGTGCCTGGTCAGAGGAGGAGCTTGATAGTCTTTGGAGGGGTGTCTTGACAACATGGGCAGCATGAGTGGGAAGTGATGCTTGGAGATCCCATACTGAGATTCTCATATCATAGGGCTGTAAAGGACTTGGCAAAGAGGTGGAGAAAGGAGAGGCTCAACCTCATGAATTGTCAAGATACTCTGGCACACTCCGCACCCCTGTATCTTTTCAATTTGGGGCTTTAGCAACTGCTCAATTGTGTCAGAATGTTGTTGCTGTGGGCTCAAGACCAGTGGCTCGAGCAGGAAATTGGCAAGGAGGAACTACACCAAGGCATCATGAAAGCAGCTATTGGTTTCCAGTGCCATTGCGAGTGGTACCTTTGCAAGTCAAAACTACCCTTGATCAAGAAAGGAGACCAGAGCAAAATCTGCTGTTGGGTGGGATATTCAAACTTTCCCAAGATAACATTAGAATCTTGGGAAACTTAAATAGACCCCACTGAGAGGGAGAGGGATAAAGAGATTAATGTTTTCTCCCGAGGGAACTATCTTTGATTGACTGAGGATACTCCCTTACTAGCTCTTATTGTTCTTCTTCTTCTTCTTCCTCATCTTCTACAAGTGATTGGTCCTCTAGTAAAAGGTCCAAAAACTACTAGTAGAAGGTCCAGAAAAGACATTGTAACAAATGGGTTGTATACAATAGATTTTCATAAGGATCCAAACAAAATTCTTTGTTTTTCTTTGCCTTTTTCTTTTTCACATCTCCTAATCCAACGATCAACGTATGCACAGGCAGATGCTTTTATGACAAGGAGGTATTTGATGTGACCCCTTATCTTTAAAACTAAACAAGCTAGTACCTTTTTTGATCTCCAACCTTCATGCCAAAATGTTTTCCACCTTTGCTCCACTGTGAGGCATGCCCGGTAACCTATCACTTGTTCTGTCTTTCTCCACCTCTTGAGGGATACACTTTGAGCACTTATCTTGACAGTCTGAAAGGGAGTGGGTATGTCCCAACTACAGCAATAAGGAACCTGAAGATTCACCAAATGAACCTGCAGCTCCAAACGCAACATCACCTGCCATACATGTTATGAAGATTATTAGCTAATAACCTAATATGAGTACCGTGGATAGGCTTAAGTAATTTCAGAGATTTAAATGGTATTCAACGACTGAACCAACCCCAATGGTTTTTTGTTGCTGGCATCTCCCTATGGAAAAAAAAAAAAAGAGTTTTTAAATCCTTCAAATACGTCATGATTATTCACTAAAATAGATATTATAAGTATAGAATAACTCACCTTTAAATAGTTCTGGTAAATCACTAATCCGATAATACAAAGATCCATTCCGGACCTTTTTCTTCCTTTTCTTCTTTTGCTCATCTTGTTCCTCCACTTCTTTCTTCTTCACTATCATACTCACAATGGGTTGATGCCTTAATGGTTTTGAAAACAAGTTATTTTGTGCATATGATGAATCACCCTTGAGTATTTATAGGTAAACTACAGTATTTCTGTTCAGAAAAAACATATTATTATAAAAAAAAAAGAGAGGAGGAAATCTAGCTTTTGACAAACTCTGCAAATGGTTGGAATATATTGGAAGAAAAAGATTTCCTGTGCCTCAATATTTTGGAAATGAATCCGAGACGTATCCGAATGTATTTAGCAACAAATGAAATGGTGTTTTTTTTAATAGACAAGCTGTCCACAAATCAAATTTTTTTAAACTCTAAATTAATTTTTTTTCAAACAATCTGTAAGAGCATTAAGGTATAATGTTTTCAATAAAGTTAAGTTTTTCTAATAATGAAATGATAAGTATAAACAAATTAAAGTTAAAAAGGAAAAAGAAAAAGGAAAAGTGAAAAAAGAACGTTTTAATCTTCTTAACATGCATGCTGAATTTGGATTTGTAAGGATCTAAGCCCTTAATGAATGGCTTAGCCTCATGTTTGAAGATTGATCTTGAACTTTGATTTAAGCTCCGTCAATAACTTTT